GGGCTTGCTCCTCTACCTCCATCAAAGTGGAAGGGGGTGGAGGGTGCGACCAGATCACCCCAGATGAGGAGCAGAGGCTGGGCCAAGCCGGTTTCATGCAGAGGCAGTTCGGAGCCATGCTCCAGCCGGGTGTCAACAAATTCTCCTTGAGGATGTTTGGCAGCCAGAAGGCCGTGGAGAGGGAGCAGGAAAGGGTTAAGTCTGCCGGGTTCTGGATCATCCATCCCTACAGCGATTTCAGGTACAATTCTCCCCTGCTGGCCCACTCAGAACTAGCTGGCCTGCCCATTCCCCTGTTGTGTCCAGCTCAGACCTTCCCACACAGGGCACGCATCCTGACATAACTTTCCTTACTGGTTTCCTGGTCAGTGGAGCTGGAGAACACAGCCGAGATCTGCTCCAGTTAAACAATTTGTGGGTTTCATTTATATTTAAGATTAATTCTAGTGTCCTCACACTACTCTTAATTTTAAATTGTGTTTTTAAACCAACAAATGCCTTTTCCTTTGGCTTTTTATGAAGGAAAGTCTTTGCATAAGCTAAGCGTAAATAGGGAAGAATGTTGCCACCTGATGCACAACTCTAAGCTAAAAACGTGGTGTCTGCTGCTTAACTACTGCCTGCATCTCCAATTCAGGGCTATGGTCTGCCTGATTAATGCTTCAGTTCCCATTTTCATACCTCAAAGTCCTCTCCTTCCTCCTTCCCCAAGAGTTAGGGAAGGATGGTGCTACTGTTGCTGTTCTGTAGCGCTTCATACTGCAGCATCTCTTGTTGGGAATTGCTATGTGCAGGGGATAGCGGTGTTCGTGAAGAAGGACCTTAACACTGTCAGAGTCGAACGGAGAAAGATTTTTCCCTTTTACATCTCTTATTTGCAAAATTAATTTGGACAGGGAATAGTTAACTTTGTCTTTATGAAAGTAATGGCTTTCTTTCACTCAGATAGCAACATTTCCATGAAGGTTAATAAGGAAATTAACTTGGAACCCTACAGCCAGAATTTGTGTGCTTCTGTGTAGCAGAGGGGTTTTCTTTGGGTATTTCTCTACTGCACAGGTGTATTGTCCTCTGCAATATGTATGTAAAGTACTGCAATCAATAATTAATTACTTAGTGCAATCAGTGGCTGAGGTTTATTGCTTCAACTTTAATTACAGCTGGCTTACATCTCACATTTAAAAGCACACAGGAAAAGAATATTGTTCAAATACATAGCTATCAAACTCCATGATTTTATTGTATTCTTAGACTCTTTAAGAAACCTTGCATTATTCCTTAAAATATAGTTAGGAAGATAAGTGCAGGAAGGAGTTCCAGGGTGGGTTTGGGTGTACAAAGACAGAAATGACAGAAACCTCTTGACACTACGTTCAGCAAGCAGTCCACAAGCTGAGTTGATTCAGCACTGGCACTGAACAGATTCCTTGATGTTTGCTTGGATTAACAAATGTTATTAGAAGGCTGCATGAATTGGAAGACTGCACTGTCATTTAAATTCAGTGCATTCAAGTGTCCCAAGCGCACAGCTGACCGAGCATATGAGGGTTTCCAGTAGCTAAATGATGATACATAGTCCTTGCAAGTACAATCTTATTTGAATCCTGATGGGAAAGAGCACAGAATTGCTTCCCAATTGTGACTGATCATGTAATAACTCACAAACACAGCAAAATGTGAGAGTGATTAGCTTTACAAAGAATAAAACAAATTTCACCCTCTAGGTCTTTGTATTATTTGCCATGAGGCTGGAGTTAAAAACTAACTACTGGGCTTTCTTGAGTTATTTTAGCAAGGTGTTCTCTGTCTGTCAGACCCTCAAGGTACTTTGTATTTAATCTCTAGACTGTATTTGGATTTATGTAAAAGTAGCATTCGGCTTGGATATCTTTTATGTATCTCTAGAATGATTTATTCCATCTTTATGACTATGTTTTCAGCATAGAACCAGACTGGCAAACTTCAGTAAAAGGATCGTGGCAGTAGCTGAGGTAACCATCTTGCCCAAGGTGAGATGATCCTAAGAGTTTATTTTATTTTTTAGATTCCTAAAGAACCAGTGCTTATTCCTTAAAGCAGAACAGTAAATTATGAACTGAGTTTTTATTTCTGAGGTACTTGGCTATAGGGCTGCTCCTAGCCTTACATGACGGGAACAAAATACGCAGGCAAGCTTTGACTCTCCCAATCCAGATGATCTAAAGCTCAGATATTGGTATGCATGCAGATAGATATGGATGCATGTATGACTCGTTAGTATTAATAATAAAATCCTCCCCTGACGTAGCTTTGCATTTGTGCAGGGAAAGCGCGGTGAGTTGGATATCTGTACACTAGTGCAAGACAGTCTCTGCTTGGTGTCAGATTCCAGGTAGGCTGATATCTCACTGCTTTCTGTTTCTTCTTAATTGATGCTAGGAGCCTAGCACTCAAATATGTGCTTTCTCCCTGCTATTCTGTATCAGCATGAGATGAGGCAGTGGCACTGACTGTATAGAGAAACATCTGAAGAGACCAGGAGGAGTTGGATGCACTCCTGTATGGTCAGTATGTATATTTCCTGGGGAACTTTGTCCACCCCTGTTTCTAGGTCACTTGCAACCTATCTCTCTGACTATGAATGCCACTTAGAGAAAATGCATGGGCTTCCATTAAAAATGACCTATGAACAAAGGCTGCCTTGAAAGAGAAGAGTGGGAGCTTTCCTAGATTCTGTTCGGGTTTTGTGTTCCCTCCTTCTCTGAATGCTACTGAAACATCTGTCTTGGAAACAACTCACATGAATATGAATAACATCTTTTGACCTCTGAAATGCAGCGAATTGCACCAAAGAGAAGATACTATCAAAATATTTGCAAGACTTGTATCCTTGACCCAAAGGACTCTGTTTTCTGCTTTGCAGATTTCGCAGTGCAATGCGTGATTGCTCCTTGTTATAGATGGGTGCAGATTCTGGAGCCTTAGGATCTTCTAAGAGGCATGAGTCTTCATTATCCTGCACTTTGCTGTCACCAAAGCTGTGCAGTAGCATTTGGTGTACAAGCTTTGAGTTAATAAATATTTAGACCCAGATCTTGTTTTCTGTCTTTTTGGAGGAATCAGTTTCACCTCTGAGAGTGAGGTGCATCTGCAGGCATTTTGGTAGAGCTCCAGACCTCATGGCTTCTGTCTCAGTATAGCTTGAGATGTTAAGTTTTGAATGGAACACTCCAGCCCTATTTACTGGAGCTTGATTCTGCTGCAAAATGACATCGGTGTAATTCCTCTGACTTCGTGCAGTTGCTTCTCCTTCGTGTTACGTGAGAGGAGTTCCTGTTTTAGAATAGAACAGAGGCTTTCATCACAGTCTTATTAAATTATCATTTTAGCATCTAATATGATTAATTCCAGTGGCAAATCTATGACCCTCCAAGAGTAAAGCAAATTAATATGGATTAAGGCTCTGTTGATTTCTGCTTTTAGTCCATTGTGAGGGGAAAAGACACCAAATGACCTTTATAAAAAACAAACTCAGTGCCCCTGAGTACTCATGACTAATGCAGTGGGCTTGTTCAAGAAGCACTTAAAGGTGTCTTAGCAATTTCTAATGAACGTAAGAATACTACTAGCTCCTCTTCTGAGGTACAGATGTATGTGGTAGCAGCTTGGGTTTATTTGCATCTGTGGTTGATTGCACAACAGTGCAGAGCCAACCTGTATTTCCTAGATCAAGATTTATCTGTGACTTTGAAAGCTTTTTCACTGGGTAGATAGAATTGTAATTTATTGCTTAGAGGAAGCATTGATCCAGTACAATTGATTTAATAAAAATATTCTAGACAAACAGTAATCTATCTGGTTTGTAACTGACTGAAGCATATTGGTCGTAGCTGCTATCAAGAATTGCTTGCAAAAAAGTGTAGCATGCTGCTTTTAGAAAGTCCCGAGAACAGATACACTATCTGAAGGACTAAAATAGTCTAAACAGAGGATGTAAATAGAACTGCACATTCTTCACTGCCCAGTAATCTATTAACTTCTTCACAGAAAAGAGAAGCTGCTGCCTCCTTGAAAACAATGGAAAATATTCCACTTGGTAACAGATTTCAGAATTTTTCTTTTCACTGTTCTCCCTTACTTGTAATACTTAGTTGCAAACATCCCTTTTTTTCATTTGTTTCCTCTGTATGAGCCCCTTAACTGCTTTGGAACCTGGGCAGATTTCTGTGGCACCCAAAGAAATAGATGCTCAGGTGTGAAGTATAATGTAGAGAAATTCCTGAAGAACAAAATCATCTGCTTCCCTTCATGCTGCTCCAGACCTCTAAGCAGTGTCATTCACACTGCCTTCTCGTGGGGCATCCGTGGGATTTACTAATTAGAGTACTAAATACTGAACCCAGTACCACTAGTGGGACTGAGGAAAAATGGAAAAGATGCATGTTTAACCTTTTCCACTCTTCCAGAGTGTCTCACAGAGTGCTGCTCTGTCTGTGGAGACTGTTTTCATTTGCCAGCTTTTCACTGTTTTTTTTGAAGGGTAAACCATTTGTGAGGCATACGGAACTGCTCGCTGACTTTGTCAGTTCACTCTAGGTGGGTGTTGCTCTCCCTGCTCTCACACAATGATGCTGTTTTCTGTACCTGCTGTCCAGAATGCTGCTGCTCGCGCTGGCCTCACTTCATGCCTATCCACATTCAGAAGCTGCCCACAATGGCAAACCCTGATCTTGTGACTTGCCCACTGCTTGCAGCAAAGTAAAATGAAAGCTAGTCATTGTGTGAGCCTTATGTACAGCAAATTGAAATTCTGCTTCAGTGAAACCTCTGCTTAGAAGGAAAGGTCAGGAAAGCAGTTGCATTAGTAGTAGTAGAACCTGTGCCTGTCAAACACAAAATGCCCATCAGGCACGGGTTTATTGGTAGGCAGCTCATAGGCTTGGCTATCTTCTTGTTCATGCTCATGATAGTTGCCTCAAAAAAGTACAGGGACACTGCTAGCTGAGGAAGGGAAGATGCTTTCCTGAAGTCAGATCTTGCTGTCTTTACTGCAGATAACTTTTTCCGACAATTTCCAGGGCAGTTTTGCTGGAGCACAGTGAAGGGATCCACACAGGAATAGTATGAGGTGTAATCCAAATCCTCATGAACAGCGTGGATGGGATTTCTTTTGTCTTCAGTGGACTGTGAATCAGGCTGCAGGAGAAGAAATATGGATTTGTGACTATGAACTGAGGGGACCAGACTAGTGCAGCCATACTT